AACCCTGCTGGGAATCTCGTACGGGGAGGATATGCAATGGAGCGCGGTGTACGGGTCGGGCGTGAAGCACTCCTCCACCAAGTGGGAGTTGCATAAAACATATCACGTGGTGCTTCGAGTGGACAACGGTGCGGGCTCTGTGTACATTGACGGCCAGTGCATATCGAATCCACAAACGATACGGCCCGATGGAACGACTTTGTACGGGATCTCGCACTTCTTCTTTGGCGCGTACGATGATTCGTCGGCCGGCAAACAAATTCATGCGACGGTGGCGAATGTCATGCTGTACAACCGTCCGTTGGATGACACGGAGATAGGTAAGCTTCACCAGAATAAAGTTTCCATTCCAAAGCCGGAAAGTGCGGAACCGCAAGGGGCGGATTCTGCTCCAGTTCAAGAAACTTCCATTGACAATGCGAGTGGTTCGTCACCCAAAACTGCGCCGGAATCCGTGCCCTCTACTGATGCCGCTGTCAACACAGTGAAGACGGAGGAAGTGATCTCGCCTACGGGGTCCACGGTTGTGGAAAAGAAAAAACAACCTTTGACGGCACCGACGACGACTGTGGAAAAGGAAAACCAGTCCTCGTCGCCGGAGTCCACAGTCGTAGGCAAGGAAGATGGATCCTCGTCGGAGTCTGATGTCGTAAGCGGGGAACCTGGATCTTCGTCGGGGGGGTCTGAGGTCGTGGAAACGGCAAAGGAATCCCCGTTGAAGGTGCCTGAGGTTGAGGTTGAGGGTGAGAGGGAGGAGGCGGCGGCACCGCCAGTGTCCACGGTGGAGGGCGCTTCCTCTACAGTAAATGCGAACTCCGACCAGCTGCCAAGCACTCCTGCCGTTGAAGAAGTCCATCAATCTCAGTCGGAAGAAGGGACGGCTTCTGCTGAAGAGGGTGCAGTGCCACATCCAAACAGCGCAAGTTCTGCTGATAATGACGGGGCAGGGGATGACACAGGCGTAACTGATGCAAACACCGTTCTTTACGGTGGGGTAAACAAAAGCCAAGAGTCTGGTGCGAAGGGAGACGACCATCCAGACGCCGCAGCAGCAAAGAATGCAGCATCCGTTCTCGCATCGTACAACAAAAGCAGCGATGACCTGTTGTCGAAAGGCAGCGCTGAGGATGGCACTGCGTATGGGCGCCGAGTGCTGCTGCCGCTGCTTCTGTTGGGGTTGTGGGTGTTTGCGGCACTGTGAGAAGTGTGCGGTCTCTGTGCGGGGCATGTGCACCTTCTCCCGCACACACACACACACCACCGGGAATAAATTCCTCTTCACGGAGGGCGATTTAATTTTTTTTTTTTTTTTATTACGACCAGGGAGGACATGAGCTCGCAGCGGTCCACACCGCAGCCACGCTCTGCCGCTTTTTCCTTTTTTTTTCTTCATCTTTTTTCTTTTTTAAAAAAATTATTCCCACTGTGTTTGTTGTGGGAGTCGTTTGTAACATCGTTTGCCGTTTGTTGTCCTCCGCGGACGGGGTGTGCTGCTGCCGCGTGTGCGTGTGGCTCGGGAGGCCGGGACTGCGCCAGCTGGCGGTGACGAACGTCGTTGTGTGCAACCGCTGACTGCGTCCAGGCGAACTGCGAGGCCGTCTTTTTGAGGAATCGTGGGCCGGGTGGAATCGCGCGTCTTCGGAATCCGGTGGGGACTATTTCGACGATGTTGAGAACGCTTTTTGCGGGGCGATGGGGCGCAACAACGGCGGCGACGGCTCTGCGTGCGAGAATGCGTCTCTGGTGCTAATGCTTCTGATTGGGCGGTGGGGCTTTTTGGCTCTCTGCTGAGCCGAACGAAGAGCATCGGTGAGCCGGTGCTGCCGCTGATTGAACACATGAGCCGCCCAAGTAAATCTTTGCGTATCCGTGCGGGCTCACTTCTTTTTTTTTTCGTTTCATTTTTTTTTCTTTGGGCCGCACCTTTTGTTTTTTGTTTTTCATCTTTTTCTTTTTCCTTCTGCTGATGGTTCTCTTGCTGCTCTCAGTCTCCGCACGGAGAAGTGGGCCTCCCCTCATGCCTTTATGCCGCTCCTGCCCTCAGCTGCGTGGCAGCGTGCCCACCGGTTACGCACATGAAAGGGGCAGCGAAGCCGAGCAGCACGCAGCCGTACCGAGTGGGATATTAACGGGCGTGGGCGAGAGGAGGGCCCAATTGAGACGAAACGACCAC